TAGACTACTACTAATTACTTACTCACTACTTTACTAACACTAATAATTAAATTACTTATAAATAACTACAGACTGATATGTAGAGCCTATATAAGAAAACTGGTAAGACTGATAGCCACTTAGCCACTGATTATCCGTCCTTACATTATTATAATATAATATATTAATATAAATTAATTAGTAGAATTACCTTTGCTATTATTTAACTTATTACATTATAATTATAACTTAACTAAACATTTATAGTTAATTATCTCTATCTCAAGTGTTAAACCGAACCAAAGTTAAGTTTACTACCTAAATGTGTAAGATGTTTTACTGATTTAAAGTGAACAGTCTAAATAATAAAAAAGGTTTTTAAGTATTTAAAAAAAATGTTTTATTTCTTTAAAAAAAGCATAAAATGCTAAATAGATAACACTTTATTGCACCAAAAATACATCTGCGCTGGATCCGCACTGGATCCAGCTGGATTGATGTTGGTCCAGCAAAAATCCAGCTTGATTGAAAACACTGCTGGATTGCAATCCCTAATTATAGCATTTCATGCAATTATAATAGAAAATTTAGGCCAATCATAAAAGTTGTAAATCAGAGTCTGTGGTATTTAAAAAGAAGCAAGTTTACACTCACCAATCTTTTTATCTTGTGTGAGTTTGAATTTCTTTTTCTTCTTTAATGCAATGCGTTTTGGAATATCATGTACTAGAGTGAGGGTTGCCGAAAATACATAAGTGTGCCTTTCCTTTGATTCGTCTCTAAATTATTTATATAACAAAATAAATTCATTAGTCAAATAGCATTGTTTGCGTATAAAACTCAATTTATTTTTAAAAATTTCATAGATAATCATTAAATTCTTTAATAAAAATTACAATAGTTGCAATTAAAGAAATGTGAAAACATTCATTTAAACTTTTAATGTTTTTGAATGAGAAATATCTTCGGAATTATTATGGAAACTAGAAATAAATTAGAGGGTTTGTCCTTGATGTTTCAAGATGTAGACAATATCCTGAACAGACCAGAACACAGAATCCTTTGGCATAAACAGATTACATGAATCAAGGACTTATTGTGGTTAAACTTAATTTTAAAAATAATTTGTAAAAAATGTCACAATATTTTCTATAAGCACATTTATTAAATTACAGTAATTATCAACTTACTTATTTATCAGCTCTAACAGTTGTTGAAGTTCTGCAAAATGTCCCTTTTCTACCATTCTATCTGCTTCATCTATCACCAGATAACGTATATCCGGAGCTTGATTTAAATGTGGATTTCCCTTTAAAGAATTTAAAAATTAGAAAGTCTAAAAATTTATTAGATTTTACATTCTAATTTTTGGAAATATTCTTATTAAAAGAACTTCAAAAATTCTAAATATTTGAGTAATGGAACTACTATATAAAACTCTATCTTATATACAACAAATTACCTTAAATATGTATTGGTTGATTCAGTAATTAGGAATATATCATCAGATTATAGCTGTACAACCTCAATTTAGTCTATTACGGAAAGACTTGATTCATATTACGGTCTTACAGAGGAAATTATAGATAGATGGCAATTAAGTGTGGCTGTACAACCATAAGCATGATAGTGATATTCATCAATGTGATAATCAATTATAAGCCACTTAATATTATACAGGTATATTGCAGAGTCAAATCCTCTGGCTGGAATCGAGAAATGGGCTCAGACTATCCATATCTGAATTGAAATCAAATCCTTCAGTAAAACACTGAGATACCTGTGCCATCTTAAGGTGTATTCATACTAGACCATTTGAACCATCATGTCAATTAAAACCATCCGAGTGTGACTGAAAGGATGGACTGCAAAATGCATATGCATGCACATTAAACAGTTCAGTCCTCAAATGACAAATCTTGATCAATGAAATGCACTGTCACATATAACATTTTATCTCCTTTATTAACATTTTGTTAAAATTCTTTGTTTTTTTTTTTAGTTCCATGCAAAACATTATAGTTCTTAGATGATTACACATGCCAAATTAAGTAAATATAAAAGAACATCTCTCATTGGTTGTGATGTTCTTATATGCATCTTCAACAATTGGCTGGTTTCTTTCAACATGGCTGTTGTTCCATCAAGAAACTCGACTAGCTGTCAACTGTCTTGTCCATCCTGTCCTTTGTCATCATTCCATTGCTAAGATAACTGCCAGTGGCAACAAATGAACCAGACTGGACAATCCTGGTGTAAATCCACCTTTAGTCAAATGGCTTACATTAGAAAATAAGATTAACAGCACAAAACCTTTCTCACTAATTTCTAGCCTTATTAACTGGAGTACAAACGTTTTTTGCGTGTGCTGTTAATCTTAGAAATAGTTCTAGCTACATATGCATAGTAGTGTATTAGAAAATAAGCCTTAAATAATTAAAAAAATTTCAAAATATAAACAAAGAACAGATTTAAAATATTTTAATGTTTCAAACTTCACGTAAATTCTACCTTTTATTTATTTTTTAATTTTGAAAGCAACTACAAACTGATTTTTCTAATTAATAATACATATAACTTAATAATGAGCATAAAGATTCAGAATATGCTTAAGACATTTAATGTAAAAAGAATATCAGTAAAGAATATCTTTAAAATATTTAATCATAAGAAAATTAAACTACCTCTTCAATTAATTCCCACAGTCTTCCTGGTGTAGCAACCACAATATCTGGGCACTTCTTTAATAAACGTTCTTGTTTTTGTTGACTCATTCCTCCTACTACAGTTTCAACCTAATACATAAAATAACATTATTATTGTATATAATTCATTAAGATTACTTTCAATACAGCAAACTGTAAAATAGTACATGGATTAAGTTTTAAAATTATTTAAATAAGCTTTCATACAGGGTATATAGTAAAGTTTTTATACACCCATGTATGTGACAAAGCAGATAGTTACAGTTACTAACATGATGTATAGTTATAGTAAAGTGACTATGCGTACAGTGACCGACCATACGTCCTTTATTTAAGAGGACAGTCCTTTATTTCACTGCTCTGTCCTTTAACTTTATTTATTTTCTAAAATAGGCATTTTGTTCTTTATTTTGTAAAGTTGACACAAAGTTAAAAATTTTTTTTTAAAAATAATACATTGAACAAGTTATTATTGTATACGCCATCACGACCAGTGTTGCATTGCTACATAGAGCGCAGTAGTGCATTGTGTCGCCAACCAAACGGCCTACTGACAGTACCAGGGGGTGGACACTCTTATGGGGATTTTTGTGATAGTTTTTTAACTCTCTAGTTGATGGATGATACACTTGTTAATTAAAGCTGAAGTTAGTTGAAAGAAAAAATGAGGGGTTTCTTCCTATTGTTATTAGAAAAGTGGTTTTAGCATTAGAAAAATCAGAAAATATACAAGCCAAAAAATTCAATGATGCTGTGTACACATTTTATCAAACGTGCATAGATTATCTAAATAATTGGGACATGTTTTTTATTGAAATAGAGGTGTTTGAATGGGTCACATTATGCGAAATCCCTTTGTGGGCGAAAGTAGAGGAAAGCTATATCTTTATTTCGAATCATTGGTCCGTAAATATACTCGACGGTGAATTATTTGATGAAGTTTCATGTGTAAAAAAATATGTCACAAACGAAAAGATCGACGAATGGTGACAGAATAACCAGCCCTGCCATCAAAGGTGGATTGAGATTTTTGAACATTTTACAGCAAAAGAAATTGTTTTCAAAAACATTTGTAAAATCGTAGAATTTTCTTTGTCTCCCTGGATCTAATGCCCCCGTTGAACGAATATTTTCATTGCTGAATAATATGTGGACGAATGAAAAAACTGATTTAAAAGTAAGCACATTAGAAGCATGTATTTCCATCAAATACAACTTTCAAATGAACTGTATGGAATTTTATGACTTTAAAGCGTGAAACGGCGCTATAAAAAAAAATTAATTCTACTGAAAAGTATCAAAATTAATGTTATTTAAATTTTTACAATGTGTGTATGTGTAATAATTCAGATTGTTTAAAATTTTAATGTATGCTTTGTTGTATGCTACTATTTTCATAATAAATGTTATAAACTTATGAATTTTATAAGGTATTTTTTGATTTTCTTCAATATGTCCTTTATTTTCCCCCCAAAAAATATGGTCACTGTAACTATGCGCTATGAGACAAAACTGCTTGCAATACCCCTAGTAGTAAAATTTGAAAGTTAGCATTCCTTTCTCAAAAATGACACACAATATATTGAATGAAGCCAGACTTAATGAAAATTTTATTCATTACTGACATTTACAGTTTTTTTAAAAACTCATCTCTATCCTCAAATTAAGCTGCTTGCCCTTTAAAAATAATTAATAATATAAAAGTTATTTTTTAATGAAATCTCGTATCAGATGGTGCCACAAACAATTTTAACTTTGTGCCAATGTATCTTAGTGTTTCTTAACATGTTAACCACTATCTGATGTGCCAGCAGTCATACTGATTAGGGCCGTACAGAGCCATCCAACCGCCTGATGTCGCTATAACCAATGTAGTTTTTCGCTCAAGGTTAAATTATCCTGGCTTTGTAAGACGTTTTACATCCTAGTGATGGCCTCTGTGCACATCTATAAAGTTGGCTCTGACCACCGGCATGTCGTAAGCCTCTGTATGACCCTAATTAGTACGACTGCTGGTGCGTCAGATAGTGGTTAACGTGTTAAACATAAATACTTTTTGCCGGGAAAGTTATGCAACTCTTTGCTGGACTTTTTAGAAATACATAATATCTGAAATTTGGGAACTGCCCGTAATTTTATAAGTTTGGTATTGTCCTAGATTACATCCCTAGAGATATATGCAGATTATGACATTACATAGCGATACTCAGCATAAAAATATAACATTTCATACGATCATAACAAAAAACTGTTCAACTCGTAAAAGAAAGGAACTATAAAGTGAAAAGTCAAAATGTAAAGGATTTAGTTTATTAAAAGTAAAACTTTCTCAATTCAGTACCTTTATATCTGTGTACTTTGCAGCTGCTCGCAAGTGATTCCTTACTTGAATTGCTAGTTCTCTAGTTGGAGTGAGGATAAGAGCTCGAAGAGGTTTGATATCAGATTCTTCCTGAAAAACAATAAATATTTTAGCATTTTAAGAAATTTTTTAATAGTTTTATAAGATAAATTTGTAGCAATTAATGTTTAGATCAGTTACAAAATTTAAATTTTTAACACAGACTGGTACTAAGTTATTGAACATTTCTGCTAAAATGCAAATTTTTTTTTAAACTTGTCTACTTCATAAATTTGTTAAAAATAAAACTAATCACAGTCTAATTCCTAATAAAAACTAATAAAAATCTAATTTCACAGAAAAATACTAATATTCTATTCTGTATTTTGGAGATTTTGAGTAAAATGTGATGCTGTAACCATATATTATTTTGAATTTGGAATGGCCAAGTGATGAGGAATAGTGACTGATTTATCTCATCTATAACAAATCAAAAATAACGTCTACCTTAAGGATGGTCTATAGTCCACTTCCATTAGACATTGCAGTTCAACTGGGATATGTTAATGGTTGTTGAACATTCTGTTCCAGTTCATAGTGTATTTAGCAGTTACAAATCTGTTGGAGTCTGATCAAATACTTGTTTACATGTGATAAAAATGAATGTACTAATATTGGAAGTTAGCTGCTGTTTATTCTTTGTTAAAAAACGGTATCAGTCATCAAGCTCAATGCAATAAAATTACTCAATTAGACCTAATTTGCATATTTTATTCTTATTTATTAATCAGTGAAATAAATCATTTGTAATTTTTCTTCGAGTAAAATATTTTAATTTTTTTAATACTCTTTTAATTACCAGTTTTATGAAATTAAATTACTTTTTACAGCCTCTATTAACAGTTAATCACTCATGGTTCGAATATTCTCTAGTTTATTTGTGGAAGATGATGCAATCAAGTATTTGCATCAAGTACAAGACCTGTGATGCCATCAAATAGATGGTTCTCAATGGCAGAACATCGAGTTTGATCATAAATTGAACTTTCTGTTAGAGTATTTCTAAGTCCAGCTGCAAGTGGTACTTAGTGGAATGAAATTGTTGATACTATGAATGCTGTAACAGAATGATTCGTTGTCGACAATTGCAATAGAACAGAATGTTGTAGACTTTGTTTAACCAAAACAACTGCTATGTCTTTGTGTTCTCATCTTCAGTTTTATTATCTTAACAGAAACAAATTATCAAGTTATCAAATCTGTTTAATTCCTCAATCATGGAAATTGCTGCTAGTGTTGTCTATTAACAAATAAAGTATTTCTTCATGAAATAATATTGTTTACATGACATAAAAAGTAGCCAAACCAACAATATTTACTGAGCTTACGGTATATAAAAACACATCTTACATTCAATTTTAACAATCAAAGTTAATAACAAAGTTTAACAGTTAATAATTTTTATCGTTTTGAACACCATATAGTGTAAATACACAAACACTAGGCAATCTTCGTTTTAAATTTATTAAATTTTTAGTTGATACATGTACCTACTAAATTAAAATGCCTAAATAACCCAAAAGATCAGCAAACAATACCCAAAACTAGAAACATTGTATATCAGATTTTTGTACTTGCAGTAACAAAAGAAGTTACATAGGTGAAACCAAGAGAAAAATGGAAGTCAGATTGAAAGAACATATTGCGAACCTCAAATATCATAGAATCAACTCTGTTTTCACAACCACTGTGCGTTAAATGATTGCAACATTGATAAAAATGGCATAAAAATTCTTCATAGAGAAAGAATAACATATAATCGCAGATTCAAAGAAAATGTGGAGATTCTTAAAAACAAAAAAATGCATAAATAAGAACCTAAGTGTAAAAATAAATGAAAATTGGCTTATTTTATTATAGATTAAAATAAATGAAAAAGTTGGCTTAAAATATTGTAAATTAAATTTATTAACAAAAAGAATTTCTAAACACAAAATCATAACTCAACTAAATTAGTCACGAAGTGGCGTATCCACCATGTAAAAATATGGAAATTAGTACGGTTATAAGCAATGAGATCGTACTGAAGAAAAAGGCATTTGAGACATCCGTCTGTATGTTAGTACTTCTATAACGTCGAAATAATCAAAGGAATTATGTAAAAGAATATATGCTAGTGAATAGTTTATTTACCAAGAAATACTTTGGCACACAGTCTTCATAAGTTACCTAAATTGTAATAGCTTGTTATAATAAAATGTAATAAGGTAAGTTACATTTGTAATTCAAAGAATTACTAATGAATCTAATTGAAAAAGACTTGTAATCTTCTATTGTTTTTCAATATGTGAAAAAAGACGAATCCATATCTCTTTACAGAAAGTAGACGAAATGTAAAAAGTACCTTTTGAATGAGCGGCATAAAAAACCGAAGGTTTTCTTCACGTAAAAGGCACAAAAAAAAACTACAAAAAACGTGAACGTACATTTTGTATATCTATAAAGAAATTTTTTATTAACACGGAAACTAATAATTACTCTATTGAATAACTAGAAAAAGATAAAAATTGATCATCAGTTACGTAAAATTGTGGAAGGTCCTCAAGCATTTTTTGGAATTTTTCTTAAAGTCCTTCGAAAAAAGTAATCTTAAGGTGTGTTCTGTAATGATTGGGAAAAATTTTTATGTAAAAATTTCATTTATATATGTATAAAAAGTTTTTATATATGTATATTTCTATTGTAATTTGTATGTATTATATAATTTTAGTTGGTTGAGGAGGGGCCTACATATACCCGAAACGTGTACAAAAAAAAAAATACATGTATCAACTAAAAATTGAATAAATTTAAAATGAAGATTGCCTAGTGTTCGTGTATTTACACTATATGGTGTTCAAAACAATAAAAATAATCACCGCAGTTTCAAGAATGTAAAACAAGTTAATAATTTGCTAAATTTATAAAGTAAATTTATTCAGGATTAAGTAAAAATTATATATTTTATTGTAATAACATAAACATTACTTACCGTCATTTTATCTTTCAGGATAAAATGAATTAATGGAATACCAAAGGCCAAAGTTTTTCCACTTCCCTATAAGTAGTAAAAATTAATTTCACATAACAAAATTAGTTAAAAATTTATTAATTGAATGTACTTACAGTTTCAGCAGCTCCTAAAATGTCCAGTTTGTCTCTGATGGCTGAAGGAAGAGTTAAAGCTTGAATAGGAGTAGGATAAGTAAATCCTAATTCTGAAAGTGCCTTCAAGACAGGTTCAGGTACAAAACAGTCCTTCCAAGCAGACATATCTGCTTCATCAGTGTCTACATTTTGTTCTTTTTTTCCAGTTTCACAGATATTTGCATTCGATTTTTTACGTTTCTTTGCCTTCAAAGGCAGGCTGTTACTTTCAATTTTGCGTTTCTTTGTCTTCTGTTTTTGAGTAGCTTTACTGTTACTTATGTCAAACATTTCCTTTTTTATTTCATCATTTTGTGTTTTTTCTTTCAAATTCTTTTTCTGTGCATTAACAAAAACTAATATTAGTAAACTTTCTTATTTATTATACAAAGTGTCCAATGTTCAAATCACTTTTCATCAAAGTCACCAATATTTAGCACGTATGGCCATAATATTAACATATTATGATGTTAAAACTGTATGCTCTCCCCATTCCTAGCATAAATTTTATATTTTCACTGCATTCTGATTACTTTTTTCCCACTCAAATCACATGTATTCATCAAAGTCATAGCAGATCCATATCTGATCCATAATCTAAATTGGTGGTCCCCAAACTTTTTTGACTGTCAATCCCTTCGAGGATTCCTTGACCTTTTATCGACCTAAGTGGCAAGGATTTTATCAAGGATTTTGAGAATATGGATACTGCTCAAGACAGATTCAGTGGGGACCAAAGCATGTGCTTATCATTTTTCAGAGAATGTTACTCAATTACCTTAGAATTATTTCAGTTACCTAATTGAAGTCATATAATACATGTTATGTTTGTTTATATTTTATACCACGTATTCCGTTATTCAGCGAAACGTCAGCAAGATGTCAGCGCAGTGCTAAAACTCGTTCCATATTTTAGCTCGCTTGCAGCGCCATCTCAAAACGCTTACAAAATTTCGTTAGCGAGGTTGAGAAGCGCTAGCTTTTTGCTAAGACAACGAGCGAAGATGGCGGCACCATGTTTGACTGTTTTAATTGAACTAAATAATCGAAATTTTCTTTTAAATATTGATGAAAAAACTTATGAAAGTTTTCGAACAGGTAAAAAAATAAATATATTTTTAACTTTTGTGTAGCTGAATGAGTTTGATAGGCGTAATTGTCTCTTTTCGTCTTCGTATATCAGATACGTCGACTGAATTTCTTACTTATTTGTATCTTGATTTTAGATATCAAGTAATATAATAATTAGCAATTGTAGAATTTTGTCGAATGGCAATTATATAAAAATAAATTTTAAGGAAACCACCATTTATTCACTTTGTGTTCCAGAATACAAACTTTTTTGACGACCGATCTTTCTTTGTAGGCTACTTGATCGTCAAAAGATTTTATAATTAGCATTATATAACCCACATGTCGAAACTTTCAGTAAACCATTATATACTGTATATTTTATTACCTATATTTTATAATGCAATCTATGGCATTATAAAATATTAGGTAATTATCAGTAATTAATTATTTAATGAGTATAATTTTGTTTTAAAACTAGTAAATGCTTCATATTTTCATTAGGAACAGCACCCAATATCAAAAATTATTTTAAAGAACTTCAGAAGACATTCAGTGCTGCTGACTTAGGCTTACCTGAAGGCACAGATATTCTGAATTGGAGACAAATAAAGTTATGGAAAGTATTTTCTGAAAATAATGGAACTTTTGGTAAGTGCATTTAATCTGAAAAATAATTAATTGATAACTTGTATGCAAGTATAATAAAATTGTATGACATTGTGTTTAGAATGTGGAGAACAAATTCTCATTATTGATGACAACCATACTGAACTTCAAGAAAACCCTGTTGTGGTCGGCTCTCCAGATCCTTCAAAAAGCATACATAATAAAAGTAAAGGTAATTGTGATGTGTATATGTGATTTCAAATATTTACCAAAGTAACAGATCTTAAAAATTAATTTAAATTTTGCTTGTAGCAGAATGGACCCATGCAGCAGTAAAACTGTTAATAGCAAGTAGAATAGATTTAGAAGAAGACTTTCAAAAACCTGTAGTCAAAACAAAGCTTTGGGCTAAAATAGCTGATAAGTTATCCAAAGAGGGTTTTGCATTTACAAGTTCAGAATGCGATCACAAGTGGAGAAATCTCATGATTACATACCGAAAAAATGTTGATAAGAGCAAAACATCTGGAGAAGGCAAAATTAGATGGGAATATTTTAAAGAATTGCATGAAACTTTTGGTAGGAATATTAACACCAATCCGCCAATTAATTACATGAAATCATCTTCAAAAATTAATTCCAAAAGCAGCAATCGTATGAATGAATGTACTCAAGAGGTGCTAACTGAAATTACTTGTGCCCAAAACAGAGATCGTGTCAGCATTATAAGTACTGAAAATTCGACAGTTCAGGTAAATCCAGTTCCTGTGGCCGCTGAAACCTCTTGTACACAGTTAAATAAAGAAAATGAATGTACAGCTATTCAGAAAAAAAAAGATAAAAATGAATTAATTAAAAGTAGAAAAAGAAGTCGGAATGAGCCACCATTGTGGTATGTTGAAGATATGAAACGCAGGGATAGGAAGAGAGAGGAGAGAGAGAAGAAAGAAGACGAAAGATGGCAGGAACATAAAGAATTGGAGACTAGGAAAGTACAGGTTTTGGAAAAGCTGGTTGAATTATTACAAAATGTACAAAAAACAAATTCAAGTTAATAAAATTTTTATTTGCGATGTGTTTTTGCTTAAAACTAAATGTTGACATGAATTATTTGTACATTTTTTTCTTAAGAGAATAATGTGAATTTAATTTACTGCAAGTAGATCATAAGTGTTATTAATAAATCAATACACAAAAATTTAGCTAATTCTTAAAACAATTTAACCAAAAAATGGATTAAATGTTTTATAACAATTGTTATAGTTTATATTTATTCAGATAAATAAGATTATTATTTTTGTCATGACTTGCAGTATAAAGATGTTATGCACACTCTAAATTAAAAAGGTAATCTGCAATTTGATCCCTTTTATGTGCCCCACTGACATTTTTATTAATACCTGCATCAAACTGTTCTGTACTGTGGCAAGAAAGTAAATCCAGTTGATCATATATACCAGGTGTAATATCATTATGCATAATACATAGGTTATGTAGAACACAGGCAGCTACAATCACATCTGGAACAAATTCCCTTCTTCGTACATAGATATAAATTAGCTTCCGAAATCGTCCAAACAGATGTGCAAAAGCTTGTTCTATTACGACTCGTGTAGAACTCAGAATTGTATTGAATAACTTCTGCTTTCTTGTTAAATGGCCATTGTTTCTATATGGTGTCATTATTTTATTATTTAATGGGTAGGCACAGTCACCAAGAATATGGCAGTCTGAAGGTATAAAATCCTCTTTCTCTTCCATATTTTTAAATAATGGACTGTTCCTAAAAACTCTAGCATCATTTGCAGAGCCTGGCCAACCTGCATAAACATCCAAAAATTTTAACTCATGATCACATACAGCCTGTAGGACTACACTAGGATAACCTTTTCTATTTATATGATCATTTTTTTCTTCTTTACTCACAGAAAAGGCAATATGAGTGCCATCGATGCAACCGATTGTTCCTGGAAATGGTTTCACTCTAAGTTTCTGAAATCCTTGTCTTATTCTCTCAATCTCAAAACCCTGTGGCATCTTAATGATTGAGTTTGACAAGGCACAGATTGATGTACAGAATTTTGTAAATTCTCTGTGGCCACTAGCAAATCCTAACCCGAAGCGGTCACATACACCACGGTAGCTCTCCTGGTTCCCCATAAACCACAGAGAAAATAAAACAGATGTTTCCTTAGGAATTCGTGCTTTTCTCCTTGCTGGTTCCTGTGGCAGCATAGATAGCAAAATCTGAAAAAATAATGCAAAAGTTAGTATGTAAATCTATAAAATTTAAAGCAGTATGAAATATGTACAGTACAGGATTCCCACTTAAATTTGTTTTAAATTCCCTGACCCTCACAGTCCCTTACACTATGGCACATTAACAAAACAAAAATCTTAAAACTTTTTAACTAGTTATTTTTTCTAATTAACAGTAACATATTTTATAATCACTGAGTAAAATTAAAAGAAGAAAGAATTATGGCTTCTCTACATAAACCTAAAATGTTTTATTAAAAGTAATTTATCTTGTTATTAATCCACAACTGTAAAACTTTATGGCTTTGAAAAATGAAAGAAAAAAATCCATTAATTATATAGGTCTATAATTATTTGAAATTGCAGCCCAACAAATCATGTATAATCTATGCACAAAAGTATAAATTATATTAAAATTTTCCCTTAATAAATTTGCCAAACTTTATAAAATGTTAATAAAATGGGAAAAAGTTTCAGAAAACAAATTGTTTTGTTATGCAGTCAAATACCACCATTCAAATATTCATTTGAATGGTGGTATTTTATCATTTTTGGTTATTTGTTAATCAATTCGCTAACACCTGTTCTCAAATTGAGTGTAAATGTGAGATACCGAGACAGTTAAAATATTTTAAAAATTATCATTATTAGATTAAAATTAAACCAAAATAAATATATTTTTTGTCACTCACCTCGACGGTGCTTCTTGTTAGACGAAAATGACTTTTGAAAATATCGTCGCTGTATTTTGGCACGATGTCATGCACGTAGCCAGATATTTTATATCTTTCTTCCCTATATTCTTCGTTAGAATCGATAGCTGCTATTAATGATGAGTCTTCTGATTCATCATAGTCATTTCTGAAAAAACTTGAGTTTGGATTTACGACAGATTCAGAACAAATACTTAAAACATTTAGAACAGATGCAGTGAAAATGTCATCCATTTTAATTAGCGAAATGCTAGCTGTTGTGTTCCTTCTAACACGTCAGCAGGAAGTTAAATATTTCACACATCCGCTAGCGAATAGCAAGCGCTCTGCTGAATAACAAAATACGTGGATAGTAAAAAAACTGACTGCTATTATGTGAAATGCTGCAGCACCATGTTTGTTTAGTTAAGTTACAGTAATGCAACACTTGGCCAATCTGCCTAGGGAGAATGCCTTTCAAGAAGTATTTTAAAAGGTAACTGGCCCCTATTCAGTCATTATAGACGTGGAGAAATCCAGAAAACTCTGGGCCAGCCCATCCTGGCAAGGTGCAAACCCATGACTGAACTCCCAGTGTTCAGAAAATGGAACCACTTCACATCTGGTGAACTAGCACCGTAAGTATCTCCCAATATGCCCAATTGATTCCCATTTTCTGTTTGTAAATGCTGTTAATAATAATACTGATGATAATACATCTAATGAGCCAGAATTAATCAACACACCGTTTTCATAAAAAAGATCTACTTACAGTGTGCAAATTTACATCATTCTGAAGTATCATATACAAAACTCATCGCATTAATAAGTTTTGGTACCTAATTTTTAATGAATCGACCCCCAAAATGACTTATTGACCCATAGGGGTCGATGTCAATCACCCCGAGATTCTTATGTAGTCTTTAAATGAGAAATCAAAGACAATCACGTGCATAAGGTGTTTATGGCCACACTGTAGACATTTTATATATAAAAACTAAATGTCTTAGATTGTTTTATGTCCAAATAACAAATTAAAATAAAGAAATCCCTGAAAATCTTACCCTTTTTCCTTGTTTTTTAACATTTTTCTTTCCCGTATCCCTAACTATTGTAAGAACGCCGATTGGGGGAGAGATTTTTATTCCCTACCATCGGGATGGTCTAAGGTCTTAGCGTATGTGGGTGGCGGTTTTTATAGGCAGCAAAGACAAGTGTTTACAAAGGTAAACCGTTTATTCCGGACGATAATGCTTACATAATTTTTTGGCAAAGGTCCTTAAGTTCAGAACCTTGGGTTGTTTTCGGTGTCGATCTGGTCCTACGCTGGAGGGGCCCCGTGACTGCGTCGAGTGAGAAGTTCGAGATCTGAAGTGACAGCACACAAAAGATGAAAGGAAACACGACAGCTGNGCAATGAGATCGTACTGAAGAAAAAGGCATTTGAGACATCCGTCTGTATGTTAGTACTTCTATAACGTCGAAATAATCAAAGGAATTATGTAAAAGAATATATGCTAGTGAATAGTTTATTTACCAAGAAATACTTTGGCACACAGTCTTCATAAGTTACCTAAATTGTAATAGCTTGTTATAATAAAATATAATAAGGTAAGTTACATTTGTAATTCAAAGAATTACTAATGAATCTAATTGAAAAAGACTTGTAATCTTCTATTGTTTTTCAATATGTGAAAAAAGACGAATCCATATCTCTTTACAGAAAGTAGACGAAATGTAAAAAGTACCTTTTGAATGAGCGGCATAAAAAACCGAAGGTTTTCTTCACGTAAAAGGCACAAAAAAAAACTACAAAAAACGTGAACGTACATTTTGTATATCTATAAAGAATTTTTTTATTAACACGGAAACTAATAATTACTCTATTGAATAACTAGAAAAAGATAAAAATTGATCATCAGTTACGTAAAATTGTGGAAGGTCCTCAAGCATTTTTTGGAATTTTTCTTAAAGTCCTTCGAAAAAAGTAATCTTAAGGTGTGTTCTGTAATGATTGGGAAAAATTTTTATGTAAAAATTTCATTTATATATGTATAAAAAGTTTTTATATATGTATATTTCTATTGTAATTTGTATGTATTATATAATTTTAGTTGGTTGAGGAGGGGCCTACATATACCCGAAACGTGTACAAAAAAAAAAATACATGTATCAACTAAAAATTGAATAAATTTAAAATGAAGATTGCCTAGTGTTCGTGTATTTACACTATATGGTGTTCAAAACAATAAAAATAATCACCGCAGTTTCAAGAATGTAAAACAAGTTAATAATTTGCTAAATTTATAAAGTAAATTTATTCAGGATTAAGTAAAAATGATATATTTTATTGTAATAACATAAACATTACTTACCGTCATTTTATCTTTCAGGATAAAATGAATTAATGGAATACCAAAGGCCAAAGTTTTTCCACTTCCCTATAAGTAGTAAAAATTAATTTCACATAACAAAATTAGTTAAAAATTTATTAATTGAATGTACTTACAGTTTCAGCAGCTCCTAAAATGTCCAGTTTGTCTCTGATGGCTGAAGGAAGAGTTAAAGCTTGAATAGGAGTAGGATAAGTAAATCCTAATTCTGAAAGTGCCTTCAAGACAGGTTCAGGTACAAAACAGTCCTTCCAAGCAGACATATCTGCTTCATCAGTGTCTACATTTTGTTCTTTTTTTCCAGTTTCACAGATATTTGCATTCGATTTTTTACGTTTCTTTGCCTTCAAAGGCAGGCTGTTACTTTCAATTTTGCGTTTCTTTGTCTTCTGTTTTTGAGTAGCTTTACTGTTACTTATGTCAAACATTTCCTTTTTTATTTCATCATTTTGTGTTTTTTCTTTCAAATTCTTTTTCTGTGCATTAACAAAAACTAATATTAGTAAAACTTTCTTATTTATTATACAAAGTGTCCAATGTTCAAATCACTTTTCATCAAAGTCACCAATATTTAGCACGTATGGCCATAATATTAACATATTATGATGTTAAAACTGTATGCTCTCCCCATTCCTAGCATAAATTTTATATTTTCACTGCATTCTGATTACTTTTTTCCCACTCAAATCACATGTATTCATCAAAGTCATAGCAGATCCATATCTGATCCATAATCTAAATTGGTGGTCCCCAAACTTTTTTGACTGTCAATCCCTTCGAGGATTCCTTGACCTTTTATCGACCTAAGTGGCAAGGATTTTATCAAGGATTTTGAGAATATGGATACTGCTCAAGACAGATTCAGTGGGGACCAAAGCATGTGCTTATCATTTTTCAGAGAATGTTACTCAATTACCTTAGAATTATTTCAGTTACCTAATTGAAGTCATATAATACATGTTATGTTTGTTTATATTTTATACCACGTATTCCGTTATTCAGCGAAACGTCAGCAAGATGTCAGCGCAGTGCTAAAACTCGTTCCATATTTTAGCTCGCTTGCAGCGCCATCTCAAAACGCTTACAAAATTTCGTTAGCGAGGTTGAGAAGCGCTAGCTTTTTGCTAAGACAACGAGCGAAGATGGCGGCACCATGTTTGACTGTTTTAATTGAACTAAATAATCGAAATTTTCTTTTAAATATTGATGAAAAAACTTATGAAAGTTTTCGAACAGGTAAAAAAATAAATATATTTTTAACTTTTGTGTAGCTGAATGAGTTTCATAGGCGTAATTGTCTCTTTTCGTCTTCGTATATCAGATACGTTGACTGAATTTCTTACTTATTTGTATCTTGATTTTAGATATCAAGTAATATAATAATTAGCAATTGTAGAATTTCGTCGAATGGTAATTATATAAAAATAAATTTTAAGGAAAACACCATTTATTCACTTTGTGTTCCAGAATACAAACTTTTTTGACGACCGATCTTTCTTTGTAGGCTACTTGATCGTCAAAAGATTTTATAAATAGCATTATATAACCCACATGTCGAAACTTTCAGTAAACCATTTTATACTGTATATTTTATTACCTATATTTTATAATGCAATCTATGGCATTATAAAATATTAGGTAATTATCAGTAATTAATTATTTAATGAGTATAATTTTGTTTTAAAACTAGTAAATGCTTCATATTTTCATTAGGAACAGCACCCAATATCAAAAATTATTTTAAAGAACTTCAGAAGACATTCAGTGCTGCTGACTTAGGCTTACCTGAAGGCACAGATATTCTGAATTGGAGACAAATAAAGTTATGGAAAGTATTTTCTGAAAATAATGGAACTTTTGGTAAGTGCATTTAATCTGAAAAATAATTAATTGATAACTTGTATGCAAGTATAATAAAATTGTATGACATTGTGTTTAGAATGTGGAGAACAAATTCTCATTATTGATGACAACCATACTGAACTTCAAGAAAACCCTGTTGTGGTCGGCTCTCCAGATCCTTCAAAAAGCATACATAATAAAAGTAAAGGTAATTGTGATGTGTATATGTGATTTCAAATATTTACCAAAGTAACAGATCTTAAAAATTAATTTAAATTTTGCTTGTAGCAGAATGGACCCATGCAGCAGTAAAACTGTTAATAGCAAGTAGAATAGATTTAGAAGAAGACTTTCAAAAACCTGTAGTCAAAACAAAGCTTTGGGCTAAAATAGCTGATAAGTTATCCAAAGAGGGTTTTGCATTTACAAGTTCAGAATGCGATCACAAGTGGAGAAATCTCATGATTACATACCGAAAAAATGTTGATAAGAGCAAAACATCTGGAGAAGGCAAAATTAGATGGGAATATTTTAAAGAATTGCATGAAACTTTTGGTAGGAATATTAACACCAATCCGCCAATTAATTACATGAAATCATCTTCAAAAATTAATTCCAAAAGCAGCAATTGTATGAATGAATGTACTCAAGAGGTGCTAACTGAAATTACCTGTGCCCAAAACAGAGATCGTGTCAGCATTATAAGTACTGAAAATTCGACAGTTCAGGTAAATCCAGTTCCTGTGGCCGCTGAAACCTCTTGTACACAGTTAAATAAAGAAAATGAATGTACAGCTATTCAGAAAAAAAAAGATAAAAATGAATTAATTAAAAGTAGAAAAAGAAGTCGGAATGAGCCACCATTGTGGTATGTTGAAGATATGAAACGCAGGGATAGGAAGAGAGAGGAGAGAGAGAAGAAAGAAGACGAAAGATGGCAGGAACATAAAGAATTGGAGACTAGGAAAGTACAGGTTTTGGAAAAGCTGGTTGAATTATTACAAAATGTACAAAAAACAAATTCAAGTTAATAAAATTTTTATTTGCGATGTGTTTTTGCTTAAAACTAAATGTTGACATGAATTATTTGTACATTTTTTTCTTAAGAGAATAATGTGAATTTAATTTACTGCAAGTAGATCATAAGTGTTATTAATAAATCAATACACAAAAATTTAGCTAATTCTTAAAACAATTTAACCAAAAAATGGATTAAATGTTTTATAACAATTGTTATAGTTTATATTTATTCAGATAAATAAGATTATTATTTTTGTCATGACTTGCAGTATAAAGATGTTATGCACACTCTAAATTAAAAAGGTAATCTGCAATTTGATCCCTTTTATGTGCCCCACTGACATTTTTATTAATACCTGCATCAAACTGTTCTGTACTGTGGCAAGAAAGTAAATCCAGTTGATCATATATACCAGGTGTAATATCATTATGCATAATACATAGGTTATGTAGAACACAGGCAGCTACAATCACATCTGGAACAAATTCCCTTCTTCGTACATAGATATAAATTAGCTTCCGAAATCGTCCAAACAGATGTGCAAAAGCTTGTTCTATTACGACTCGTGTAGAACTCAGAATTGTATTGAATACCTTCTGCTTTCTTGTTAAATGGCCATTGTTTCTATATGGTGTCATTATTTTATTATTTAATGGGTAGGCACAGTCACCAAGAATATGGCAGTCTGAAGGTATAAAATCCTCTTTCTCTTCCATATTTTTAAATAATGGACTGTTCCTAAAAACTCTAGCATCATTTGCAGAGCCTGGCCAACCTGCATAAACATCCAAAAATTTTAACTCATGATCACATACAGCCTGTAGGACTACACTAGGATAACCTTTTCTATTTATATGATCATTTTTTTCTTTCTTTACTCACAGAAAAGGCAATATGAGTGCCATCGATGCAACCGATTGTTCCTGGAAATGGTTTCACTCTAAGTTTCTGAAATCCTTGTCTTATTCTCTCAATCTCAAAACCCTGTGGCATCTTAATGATTGAGTTTGACAAGGCACAGATTGATGTACAGAATTTTGTAAATTCTCTGTGGCCACTAGCAAATCCTAACCCGAAGCGGTCACATACACCACGGTAGCTCTCCTGGTTCCCCATAAACCACAGAGAAAATAAAACAGATGTTTCCTTAGGAATTCGTGCTTTTCTCCTTGCTGGTTCCTGTGGCAGCATAGATAGCAAAATCTGAAAAAATAATGCAAAAGTTAGTATGTAAATCTATAAAATTTAAAACAGTATGAAATATGTACAGTACAGGATTCCCACTTAAATTTGTTTTAAATTCCCTGACCCTCACAGTCCCTTACAGTATGGCACATTAACAAAACAAAAATCTTAAAACTTTTTAACTAGTTATTTTTTCTAATTAACAGTAACATATTTTATAATCACTGAGTAAAATTAAAAGAAGAAAGAATTATGGCTTCTCTACATAAACCTAAAATGTTTTATTAAAAGTAATTTATCTTGTTATTAATCCACAACTGCAAAACTTTATGGCTTTGAAAAATGAAAGAAAAAAATCCATTAATTATATAGGTCTATAATTATTTGAAATTGCAGCCCAACAAATCATGTATAATCTATGCACAAAAGTATAAATTATATTAAAATTTTCCCTTAATAAATTTGCCAAACTTTATAAAATGTTAATAAAATGGGAAAAAGTTTCAGAAAACAAATTGTTTTGTTATGCAGTCAAATACCACCATTCAAATATTCATTTGAATGGTGGTATTTTATCATTTTTGGTTATTTGTTAATCAATTCGCTAACACCTGTTCTCAAATTGAGTGTAAATGTGAGATACCGAGACAGTTAAAATATTTTAAAAATTATCATTATTAGATTAAAATTAAACCAAAATAAATATATTTTTTGTCACTCACCTCGACGGTGCTTCTTGTTAGACGAAAATGACTTTTGAAAATATCGTCGCTGTATTTTGGCACGATGTCATGCACGTAGCCAGATATTTTATATCTTTCTTCCCTATATTCTTCGTTAGAATCGATAGCTGCTATTAATGATGAGTCTTCTGATTCATCATAGTCATTTCTGAAAAAACTTGAGTTTGGATTTACGACAGATTCAGAACAAATACTTAAAACATTTAGAACAGATGCAGTGAAAATGTCATCCATTTTGATTAGTGAAATGCTAGCTGTTGTGTTCCTTCTAACACGTCAGCAGGAAGTTAAATATTTCACACATCCGCTAGCGAATAGCAAGCGCTCCGCTGAATAACGGAATACGTGGTATAAGTTATAAATAAATATAAACAAACAACACTAACCCAATAACATTAAATGTAAATACCAAAATGATTAATTTACTGTGTTTTTGTTATTTCTCACTCCTGTTTTTAGGTATTCGGTATTCGGCCGAATAGTGAAAAATAGGCTGAATACTGAATAGTAACCGAATATTCGTTACATCACTAATATATATATATAACTGCAGTATTTACATATTTTACATTGATGCATTAATTAGCAGTTGAGCACTAGACAGCAGTGTACACATCATGAGATTCTCCTATTGTCACCCATGCACCCTGAAGTAGGACTTAATAAGATTCCTAAGCCCATCAAACAGTTTCTTGTTCTTGACTAATTTATCAGGAAGGCAAAGCCATTGAATACCTTCCCGCTCTGCAGTCATATTTAGCTGCCACCTATCGGTCTCAGTACACGGACAATCATAGAGTAGTGCAAGGTCCAACTTCCATACCACACACTTCACATTTACCCTCCTCCCGTATGTCAAATCTTTTAAGGTAGTTGGCAAAACTACCATGACCAGTTAGAAATTTGGTTTCTTCATGGGTGAGATTATTTCTGCAGAGCCACCAGAGTTAATATTTGGAACAAGAGGCAAGTGAGATACTACCAGTAGTCTCATTATGCCAACCATTGTCCCAAACAGTGTTGTTGTTGTTCCAGATCATGTTTTTTAATTGTACTCTTTGGGATGGCATTGCAAACACAACTCCCAAGACCACCAGTAGCTGCCAACTTAGCTAGAACATCCACCTCATTTTCAATGATCCCTTGATGTTCATAACAGTTATTGTTGCTGGCAAGTAACCTAAAAATGTTGATGGCAACAGGGTGTAGATTAATGATCTTGGATTAAACTGATGCCCACGCTGGATTTCGAGCCTACTCCTGCTCCCCAGACTTCTGGGTAAGTATATTTTTGGTGTTTTTTCTTTCCTCTACTCTTCTTACTTCCGCCGGAAGAGCGGCCTGCACGGTTTAAACGCACCGTGTATTCGCTGCTCAACTGGCAATACTGTCCTATCGTCGTCAACTTGGGTTGGTGACAGCTCCTTGGTGTTTCACTTGAACACCATCTTCCTGGTGTTTCGCTTGAACACCTTCTTTCTAGTGTATAGGTCTCCTATACACTAAACTCTTACTTCCTCTTCCTGCCCCTCCTTGGTTGGCTGCTTTGCACCCCAGGGGGCGTTTCCACTTCTGACCTTTCCTCTTCTCTCTCGTACTGCACTTTGATCATCATGCCAGCAGAGACCGTATTGCGACCCTTGCGTCCACCTCATGGGTGTAGACTATGTCTCCCCATACCAAGAGAGTATAGTGACCACGCTGGGCTTGTTAAGCACTTAAAGAGAGAGCACAGCGTATCTCTTGTGTTCGAGTGCAGGGCTTGCGGTGTGGTAATGGACAAATTAAAAACTTTGAAGGCCCACCAAGCCCGCTCAGACTCATGTAGGGTGAGTATAGAGGCCGCCTCGCCTCCACCACCCCTTCCCACGGACAGGGTAATTAGACGAATACCCACCAGGCCTAGGAAACAGTACGAACGTCGGAAAACTCGTTCGACTCCCTCGCCTATCGTCGAGAGCGATCGTTCTTCGCCCAGCCCTCCATCTCCATCTTCACAGCTCACCCAAGCTAGACCCCGCCGGAGACGGACAACTAGGAATATCCAGGCCATCCTCGAGGAAGACACTCCAGAAACACAACACCGAGAGAAGTCCCCTCCTGCACCAGCTTCGGACAACACCCAGCGGCTCACATATGCCCAGGCTGTGTCATCCAGCCCCGCTACGGAGGCAGTTACCCCAAGACACCATGGCAGCTCCGATCAACAACCGCCGCCTTCGAGCACCGAAAGGGGATCCCTCCGATCTTCTCCGGAGGTAGTCTCTAACAACGCACCATCTTCCTCTCCCCCATTTCCCCGCTCGTTTCAGGTTTTGCATGACACCAGCAGACCAACCGAGCCTATCTGCAGACAACGGAACGACGGGAGTCCTCCTACCTGGGTGACTGCGTGGAAAACTCGTTTCGACGCTGTCGTCGATCAAGACATGCTGGAGGGAGTACTAAAAGACTTTATTCAACTGGCACACCAGATCTCCAACATCCGTGCGCCACCACAACGACAGCAACGCCACCGAACATCCCAGCGCCGCCGCAGTTCGTCCGAGCACCACAGCTCCGAACCCGATGCAAGTGAGATCCAACGCCTGTATAAGGCCAACCGAAAGCGGGCCTTCGATCGCATCTTAGCGGGCCCCTCCCGGTTCTGCCACGTAGATGCAGCAACCATTGAGAACCACTACAGACAGATGTAGGAGATTCCCCCGTCTACTACCACCACTCCAGTTCCTGCGAACCCGTGTACACCCCCGGCCACCAACAACCCGTTCGAAGCTTTCTTCACATCCCAAGAGGTCGCCCACCGCATCTCCAGAGGGCATAACACCGCCCCTGGTCCCGATAAGCTTAGGTACCTACACTGGAGACGCATCGACCCCAAGGGCATAATCATCGCTTCGATTTTCAACGCAGTTCAGCGGATTGGATACATCCCCGAGAGTTGGAAAATCTCAACAACTGTAATCATCCACAAAAAAGGTGATGTATCTAACCTTGGCAACTGGCGTCCCATCTGCCTTTCGAACACACTGGGTAAACTTTACACAGCGTGTCTCTCTGACAGACTACTCATCTGGTGCACCACCAATGACCGCATCTCGCCCTCCCAAAAGGGCTTTCTTAACTATCAGGGCTGTGTAGAGCACAACTTTGTTCTACAGTCCGTAATCCAAGATGCCAGACGTGCCAGAAAGGACGCCTTTGTCGCATGGCTTGACATAGCTAATGCGTTTGGGAACATCCCCCACAACACGCTCTGGGAGTCACTCAGGTGGCATGGCCTTCATCAAGATGCCATCAATGTAATACAGCTGCTCTACGATGAGTCAACCACCTGTGTGCGGACCAGCACCGGACTCACAACGCCAATCCTCATGCAGTTGGGCGTAAAGCAAGGATGCCCCATTAGCCCACTGCTTTTCATTCTAGCGATAGAGCCGGCAATTCGCAAGGTACAAGAGCTCGGCAAGGGATACGCGCTCCAGGAACACCCCGTCGATGTGTTAGCATATGCTGATGATATAGCACTTATCAGCAGCTCTGAAGAAGGACTCCAAACTCAGCTGAACACCATCTCAAACTGGACTGATTGGGCAGGCATCAACTTCAAACATGCCAAATGCGGAACCCTCTCAGTGCGAGGTAAGGAGTACTCTACTAGCTCTAATCAATTTTTTATTAAACAACAGGCATTGCCAGTCCTCGGCAGCGAAGATGCATACCGTCACCTAGGTGTACCCACTGGGTTCAGCAGATGTGACACCGAGGCGGCCACCATCGACGGAATACTACTCTGCATAGTGAAGCTACATTCGTCAAAACTAGCGCCGTGGCAGAAGGTAGACGCTTTAAACACATTTGTTATGCCAAAGCTCACCTTTTGTCTGGCAACTGGTACAACCCCCAAACGGCTACTCAACAAAATTGATAGAACGACAAAGCGATGTGTTAAAAAATGGCTCAGCCTCCCTCAGAGGGCCAGCCCGGAGATCGTCCACCTCCCCTATATGCAGGGCGGCACTAATGTCACGCCAACTAGCCAGTTGGCGGACATTGCACAAGTGTCGCATGCAATGCACCTCTTTCATTCGAAGGATCCCAACATCATAGACATCGCACAGGGAACACTTACACAGGTTGTCAAAAAACGCATCACGAGGCACCCTAATATAGACGACCTCTGCCATTACCTTAACGGGTCAATGGATGGAGAATTTGGTCTAACAAGTACTGACATAACGTCTATGTGGACCAGATTACAAATGGCCACTAGGCGCCTTAAGAAGCGATTGGACATCTCTTGGACTGTGGGCCCCGACAACCTGCCCACAATTTCTACTGGGACCAACTTAATCAGAACTAGCGACTGTCAGCGGGTATTGTGCGGCCTCCTCAAAGAACACTTCATAAGAAAACTTACAGCCAAACCCGATCAAGGAAAGGCTTATAGTGTAACATCTACCAGTGCGGTGAGTAACCATTTTATTAATAATGGTAAATATACCAGGTTCACCGACTGGTATTTCATCCACCGGGTCAGGATGAGCGTCGTGGCACTCCGCGGCCACAAAAGATTTGGCAATGACACTAAACGCTGTAGGCGCTGCGGCCACGTCCGCGAAACCTTAGCCCACGTCTTGTGTCATTGCCCACCAAATCTCCACCTAATTCTTAACAGGCACAATGCCATCCTAAACCGTATTGTAGCTGCCTTCAAGCCAAAAGATGCGCAAGTATTCATCAACCAGCGTGTACCCGGTTTTGATGGTAATTGCCGGCCGGACATGGTGGTTGTCCATGAACAATTGAAATCGGCAACAATTATCGATGTAACAACGCCATTCGAGAATGGACCACCAGCTTTCCAACTTGCCCGGGACGAGAAACTAAAGAAATATGAGCCACTTGCCCAACATTTCCGTCGCCTGGGTTATGATACCCACATAAGCGCATTTGTCGTAGGTGCCCTCGGCGGCTACGACCACGCCAATGAGGCCACCCTCCAGAGACTCGGCATCAGCTGCAAATATTCAAAACTGATGAAGAAGCTGATGGTGAGTGACGCGATAAGGTGGAGCAATGACATCTACAGGAGACACCTCGGCTACCACCAACAACAACAACAGGAGACATCGCGGCCACCCGCCAGCAACTCACAACATCACCATCAGGACTACTAAACCACATCCATCTGTTTACAACCTAGCAAACGCTTCTGTATCACTATTGGCAGGCCCCAGAGCCCATGTAGTATTCACATATTTTTGTAAATAATGTATAAATACCTATATCGCAAGAACATTGTATATTCCCAGCTGGCATATGTGCCCATGTACATAATTTAAATTTATATATCTGCTTCTATTTTGTAAACACATGGTTGGCAACTACAAGCCCATGTCGCGTAAATTATCTCTTTGCTTTATATATACACTTTATTTTGAAAACACATGGTTGGCATTAACAAGCCCATGTCGCGTAAATTATCTCTTTGCTTTATATATACACTTTATTTTGAAAACACATGGTTGGCATTAACAAGCCCATGTCGGGAAAATTATATATATTATAAATAATCATCTTGTAAATTTTTATTAGTTCTATAAATAAAGGCTTTTCATTCTCTTCTGTCTGTAAAGATGTTGACATTACTTCCATTAATGTGCTCATTATACAATATTAGTGCATGTCTAATAGCATATAGCTCAGCCTGCATCACCAAACAATCACCATTAAGGTGATGTTGCTGTTGCATAATTAACTTATTATCCTGGTAGGCAATGAATGCACATCTAACCTTATCATCACACTTAGAGCCACCAGTATAAATATCCAGGACAGGCTCATTTCTGAAGAGAGGCCAATGATAGGGAGGAGGAAGATGCTTGATTGAGCTGTTAACTTCCATATTTAGCTGAGAGAGAAACTCCAGGATAGCAGAGGATTTAATTCCCCATGCAATATACTGAACCCAAGCAGAGCCTTTAAACATGAGGTCAATAGGCTGCTTGCCAGCTAGAAACTGAAGAGAGCTTTTTGCTGTAGTCCTATAAGCCATTAACATGACAAGAAGTGCTCTTCGTTGTGCACTTATAAGGATGATGATATTACCTAATAATATGAGCCTTGTCGATGTCACTTGCCCAAACAGCCAAGGCGTAACATACAATTTGCACAAAAACAGTATATTATCTCCAGAGCATCCTTTCTCAGGTCCCATCTGCTCTTGGCATATCTCACCAGACTATTAAAAATCATGCAAGTTCTGTCAGTTGTATATTTAACATGGGGAGCCCATGAAAGTTTGTTCTCCAGGATTATACCAAGGTATTTAAGTTGTTTGTAGCATTTAATGCTTTCATTTTTCATCTTTATGGTGGGGTATCTCTTGTACAATGTTGGTTTATTCTTGGTGGTGAAGATAATGGCTTTACTTTTGGAGATGCTGAAGGAAAGCTTATTGTTCTTCCCCCAATCATAAATTTTTTCCATAACTATTGCAGATCTTTCTTCCAAGTGTCTGGAATAGCCACTGATCAAAATGAAAGAGTCATCCGCATAGGCCACCGTTGGGGAGGACCACAAGGGTTCTCTCCAATGGTGCTTACAAGAAAGCCATTGAACACAATGTTCCACAAGATTGGGCCCAGCACAGAACCCTGTGAACAACCCCTCTCAACCACTTTTTCGAAGCAGGTGCTTCTACTGTAGAGAAGTGTCCTCCTGTTGTTGAGATAAGATTCAATAATCTGTATAATTCAATGTGGATAGATTAGTTTCCTGAGGTTTTTCTTTACAATAATCTAGCTAGCAGTATTAAAAGCATTAGCAATGTCCAGACTAATGCCCAGTACATAAGGAAAAGAATGCTGCAACTCCCTCACATGCTCAACCACATCCAAGATTGCATCGATAGTGCCCTTTCCTCTTCTGAAGTCGTATGACTATCATGTGACTTGCCATTACATTCCAAGAAGTGAGTTAGGAGACAGAAAATCAGACTTTCCAAAACCTTCCCCATAATTGGCAGGAGAGATATGCTGCTATAGTTCTCAAGGGGGAATGTTACAGGAGGGATACAACTGGCCTTGTGACCACAACGTCTTAGTTAGAAATCAGAAGATCTTTAACGCACTTATAAACTTTGTCGAGTCAACAAAGGCTCTGGACCTGCAACACGACAATGAGTAAGAACATCGTCATCTAGTTCAACATGTGTATTAGGTATAGCTACTTGTGTGTATTTGAGTTACAACTCTATTTGCCAAGCAGTATTTCTTGTAAACCTAATTATAATATTCACCATTTTGATATCAAGAATGTTAATTTTATGGTACTAAGCCAGGTAATGTCTACTTTGTGTTAAGGAACTTATAGTTGCGTTTTTATGTACGGACCTAAAACTCTGTGCCTCTCTTGTTTTCTTTTGTAAATATTATTTCCATATGTAACCTGTTTATGTTTTAAATAATGTTTCCGGTGCGGCTCTTGACCTCCCCTTCCACTTCTCACCTCTCTTCCGCTTTCCACCCACCTTCGGCCCTGCCACAACAGACTTTCCCTCCAACTAACCCTTCTCACTTCTTTTCATCTCTTTGAGGATATACCACTGAGTAATGCTTCCTATCCCCCTATAAATATTGAAATATAGTTCTCAAGCCTTAGTTCTGCACTGTTAGGGTATTTTGGATAGGGACTATTTTGGCTATCTTCCACTCCTTAGGGAAGTACCCATGCATAAAACAGAGGTTGTAGATAGAGATAAGAAGGCCTGGATGTTCCCTCCAGATCACTTTGACAATATCCACCTTTATACCATCAATCCCTGGGGCCTTGATGGAAAGTTGTCCAATAACCCTGTCAATTTCAGTTTCCATGAAAAGAGGCTTGTCATTAATAAAGTGGTTGTTAGTGTCATTCAGGTTGTTATCCTGCACTTCATGAGTGTTGTTTTCTGGGCAAAATATCTCAAGCATCTTTTTTGCAGTCCTCCTAATGGCACTGTCTGTAGTATCGCCAGTGTCTGTGCATGCAGGGAGTACACATGGCTCTTTTAGTTTGCCAGATGCAAGCTTGTACACAAATCCCCATGGGTTGTTCATTCCTTTGGTACAAAACTGTCTCCTTGAGGCAATCTTAGCGTCTTTGATATTTTTCTTATATTGTTTTTAATAGGCAATATATTCGGTCTTAAAGGTGTCTCTTCTGTGGTCCTTACATTTTTAAAATCTTCTCCTCAGCCAGTTGTTCTGTTGGTGCATTTCTGTAAGTTCTGCATTCCACCAGGGAACCTTCCTTATATGCTTCCTCTTGATGAGGATGGCTTTCTCACATGCATTGACAATGTCCCTAATTCTAGATGAAATAAGTTCTCTGCTATTGCCATTGCTGTGATCCTGAGTATAATTTCTACCATAGTTTATAGTATTTATTAATTTTACATACATTTTATTATTTATTTATTTATTTCCATAAGTCTCACAATTCCCAAATTTCTATTAGTGACACCAAATTTGGGAGTCAGATTCAGAGAGCACAGATACAATGTCAGTAAAGGATCGAACACCACAATACTGTTGCAGATGGCACAAGCTGAAGGCTCAGTGGTCAAATGGGATGAAGCAAATATTATTAAACCAGTGCATTCCCCGACGTTGGCGATAAGCACTGAAAAGATTGGGAGCTATAAAGGCAAATTATGTGATACATACATTAATGCTAGGGATGCTGAAGGATTACCATCAGCCTGGAAATACCTAATTAAAAAATTGGAGAGCTCATAATTTATGCCTTGATTTTTTTGTTTTTTTTTTTGCAATTTTCGTATTTCATATACGATATTATTATATAATCTTATAATATTTCGTTATTTAATTTTATTTATCCTATGCATATATTTTTATACATATACATATTATTAATTGTAATAATTTTTTTTATGTTTTTTTATTTTATACATTTATATGCTAATTTTCTTCGTTAATTATTTGTATTTAAAATTTTGTTCCATTTATATTCAAATTTGTTTTACCTGATGATGGCCAATAGATTTGGCTGAAAACTTTTGTTGCATTTTTATTAAATTTCTCGGCAACATAAGGTGTTGTATCTTGAGTTACTATTGATATTATTTCAAGCTTTATGAACAAGATGTGGTTACTATTTGAGAATGACTTTTATTAGAATAAAACTAGTGTTTTTAAAAATTAAAATTTTTTTATAATATATATTATTGTATAAAACAATATGATCTTAAGTTTTCATTTAATAACATTTGTATTTTTTTTGTTTCTACACAGATATATTATAAAACATAATTATATAAAAAAATTATTTATATTTGATCATTTCAATTAAACATAAATTTATTTTAATGGATATATTTCTAGAATATTATAACTTTAAATTAAGAAAATACATTCATTACCAGAATCATCCAGAAAATTATCATCTCTTCTTATTATTTCAATATTTTTTAATAATAAAATACAAGGAGCACACATAATAGCTGAAAAAAATTTAACAGTTATTAATTAATTATTTTGAAAAACTACATAATATATTAATATTAAGTATACATTATACAATTATATTTTTCTTTTGACTTTTCAATATTTTCTTTTATTATAAAACAACACATTGATAATATACATTTCAGTTTTCCAATTTATACCAATAATGCACAAGGCTTGTTAACAATAACCATTGTTCGTTATGGCAATTATTCATGTAATATATTACAATTTTTAATACATACATAAATAATTATTCTAATGTTATTGTAAACAGTTCTTACATGAAATAAAATTAGAAATTAAAAAAAAATCTTTCAATATTTTAATACTTAAAAATATTATTCATTTTACCCCATTTAGTCAGTTATTGAGATAAAGTTGATTCCAGTTTGTAACACTGAGTAATCAAGTCCATGTCCAGCAAGTAAATAAAGATTTCTTGTACAGCACAATAATTGTGAGTAATGAAAGGGGCTGTCCATAAATTACATAAGGTATTTTGGGGTGGGTGGGGGGGGGTCAAGGATTTCTTACTCAGTAGGGGTAGGGGGTAGGGGGTAATAGATCTCGTCTTATGTAATATTCTCATTTTTATTTTTTGATCTCGTTGAATGGTGGCGTTTTGAATTTGGCAGTTTCTATTAAGAACGCTTGTTATCTCATGTGATGTGATAGACTAATAACACTAGCAGATTCATGCTCTACACATTTTTTGTCATAAGAGAAAGGTCGTGTGGTTGTTTTTTATTAGAATAAGTGCACCATTCCTATGGGTGTATAACACTAACAATACATAAACCAAAATACATGATACAAAGTAAACATAAAATTAGTATTTGGCTTTTAGTGAAAACTAAAATGTAAAACTAGAAATTATAAATTATAAATAGTCTTTTCTTCCATATTTTTTTAACATAATTGTAAAAAGCATCAAACAGTGGTTTCTGAACAAGCTTATCAAGTGGACATGGCCACCTGAAACCAAGCGTTAAAATTTCTAATTTCAGAATAAGTCTATCTTGATCATAAATTGGACAATGATAGATCATATGGTCGACAGTGTCTAAGTTTTCTGTAGAGCAAAAGCAAGAAGCAGTTTCTGCCCAGTTGTACCCAGGTAGCCCAGGTAGCTTCTAAAAATACCATGCTCAGTAAGTAGTTGAGCAGTAGCAAATGTTAAATCTCTAAGTAGTGATGAGAACCTACATTCAACACTAAGAAAATAAAGTCTTGTTATTCTACCAGTTTTACTGCTCAACTACTTTTGCATAGCGTTGTCGTGAATATAATTTTTAAGGCTGCTATGTGAAAGAGGGATCGAGTGTCCTTTGCAGCTGACTTAGCCTCAAAGTCGGCTTTTTCATTTCATAGTATGCCAGTATGGAACAAATATAAAAGTTATCTTATTTACAAGATTTTTAATATGGTGCTGGATATATGCGATTTTATTGCTATTGCAATTGGGATTTAATAGAGCTTTTAGGACAGACTGAGAATCACTGTAAATGTTGATAGAAAGAGTTTCGTTTGGTAGTGAAGTGGCCCACTGAACAGCTTGGTAGTCAGCATCTTCTTCAGCTTGATAGATGGAGGTATGTGGGTGGTATCTGTATCTTCTAACATATTTTTGACAAAATATGTCAGTTTGGAGGAAGATACAGATACTTGAGCCGACAAGAAAGGATCTTTTGGACCCATCTGCGTAGATATTAATGTCTGCATGATTATCCATGGAGGAAGATGACACCATATAACCTTGTTTACAGGATGATGATCAGAGATAGTAGGGTAATTGCAATGTGGTAGCATGTGAACAGCCATAGATAGAAGTAGAGACCATTGTTGAGCCTTGAGGTTTGTAGTTCTGATGTAGTAGTTTAGAACCTTTTCTACAATACATAGTGGCAAAGGAAGGAGTTATGCTAGTATCGAAGAGGTATTAGTAAAAACAGTTCTGCAGCACTTTGAAATTCTAATGTCAAACTGGCTTTGAAGAGAGAGTAATTTACTTGCTACTGAATTTTTACTAGTTACATGACCACAGCCAAAGGCCACATAAAGTAGCATTGGTTGTATTGCCCCATTATATAAAGTTTTATAAGCTTTATTATTTAGTCCCCAGGTGCATCTAGCACATTTTAGCAGCATGTAGTTTATTTTCTTGGCCTTAGCCAAAATGTAATCAATATAACAACAGAATGTGGTTTCTCTCTATTCACTCTTGTTTTATTTTGTATGACATTTCTGTTTACACGTGAAATAGCAAGTCGATCTGGCAAAGTTTTTTGTGTCTTTCGTGAAAATTAAAATTAATACAAAAATAAATATTATGACGTTGATAATAATAATAATATTGTTAATAATTAAAAAATAAAGTTCTTAAAATAAATTGTTCATTTGAATTCATTAAATTTTTATATTTTTAAATTTGTTCACATAAAGTCTTTTATAAATAATAGTACATATTAATTAACTAATTAATAATAATATATTTTGGATTTAAGGTTTTTAGGGTTTCATAAAAAAATTTTTTTTGGTTAAAAATCTTTCTATAAAATCATGCCAAAATATTACGTAAGATAGAGAAGGGGAGGGGATCAAAGAAAATATTACGGTTTCTTACACAGGGATGGGTGGGGTTCTGAATGGCCAAAATCACCCTTACGTAATTTATGGACGTCCCCAAAGATATTTTGATGCAAGCATATAAATAAATGCAATATATGAAATGTATCCATTACTGTAGTGGATGTGTATTTTGCTCAGCTTCAAACTGGTCTATAATATTCAACTAAATCTGGTATGGTAATATTGCAGGGCAAGTGGAAGACATTGCTGTAAAAAATTAGTCATCAACTTACCAGTGTGGCACTTTTGATGCTGCAAGCAAGAAAAATTTTATTTGTATAATATACTCATGCTTATATAAATACCTCAATGATGTAGGGGATACTGCTTAATGTGGTTCCCATTCTAAAGGTCATGAATAACATCACCTTCAGAATGTTCAATAACTAACCATAATTGATCCTGTATGATGCTTCTCATATACAGTGTGATACATCCTTGACAACTTGTAAGGAACTAAGTCTGAGCTTTATTTTTATTTTACTTTTATTTTTGCTTTCATTATATTTTGTTTGGGGCTTATGTTTAGTTAAGACGAAGGTTTCCTCACCATTCACCTTAGTAACTTAAAAATAGAAGAAAAACCAACTCACCGACGAAAGAAAAGCGCCGTAGAAAAACTCGCGCACACTTGCGCTTCCCAAGCGGAAAAAGTAAGTCCGCACCGAGAAAAAGGGGGGGGAAGACCCCACAACCCAGTTAGGAATCGCTAAACCTTAAAATAATAAAGCATCCCGATAATTGTTAAAAAGAATAATGTAAAAGGTTAGCGAAGTATTGTCGGAAAATAATCTGCCAGATAAACAAGAAAAATTTAATGTTACAGATAAGTATGTAAATGAGGAGAGTGAGCTCATTCAGAATTGTGACGTCACCTCACACTATAAAGCCTCTAACTCAAGTGAAAACGAACGAGGTGAATTCCTGATAGCAACGAGCTTATAGCAGTGAACGAGAGAGAGGTGTCCGATAGGATTTTGAAGTTATTCGATTTGTGGATCGACGATTATAGAAAGTCTTGAGAGTTTGAGGAAATAGGTTCCTAGTATATTGAGGTGACGATTAGGATCTTTAATTTATAAGAATTATTGTTTATAAGTTAATTCTTTGATTTTGTCGAATTCCAAAGGGGAATAGAATTAAGTTAGAAATAGATTGATTTGAGTTTGTCGGATTGATTCTTGTTGAATTTCATTGAATAAATTATTGTTTGATTTTTACTAAATACTGTATAGAGTTTATTAATAGAAGTTTAATTAAATATTTGATTTTGTTATTGACAAACTTTGTCATTATTTAATTCGGTGCACGCTTAAAGTCCAGGCCTGGCACACTAACGCGAATCCGCGTAAAGTACCCGTTAGGGAACGGCTATTTCCGGCACACAGTAGTGTCGATAATCGTTGGAAAGTCGGAAAAATAATATAGTACTTTACAAACTTTCAGCAAGGTAAAAGGTGCATGGTGATAAGTCAGGAGAGTGGGGTGGCCATAGATCCTCTGATAAAATCACTGATTCAAGCAAGTGAATGGGAGCAGTTTGGTAAGTCACTCCATCCTGTTGGATGAAAGCATAAACAAGTTCACGTGGAGTCAACTGACTTACAAACTCTTTGTAGATCCATAGATAAAAATCTGTATTCACATTCTCCTTGAAAAAAATCCAGCAATGAGTTGCTTAACTTTCCTGGCAACATTTTAAACTGCATGTGGTACCATCTGTTATGATATTTTATTAAAAAAACTGTATGCATGCATAATACAGAATTTTAACATTAAGACTTAAGAACAAGAGACTTGCTTAGTTATTTCTGCATTTTATATTACATATATTTTTTAATTTTACTATTTTGATATTCTATTTCTATATTATGACAGAAAAACTCGGAAAATGATTTAAGATGCTAAAGATTTTACTTTTATCATCTAGTCAAATTCCTGTTTTATATTTTACTTCATAAGTTAAAATAAATAGTTAAACATAATTAAACAATAATTTTTTATTGCATACTACCTTTTTCAAAAGTTGCTTTAAATCGAGCTTCAGTAGCTCCTGGCAGATCTCCTATAAGATTATAACAATTTACCTAATTGAAAATAAAATTTTTTAAGTTAAAAAAGTTTAATTAAAACTGTAGAAGTTTCATTTTACAAAAATATTAAAATTTTTTTTAAAAACAAACCAAGAATTTATTTGTTTTCACAGTGATTGATTAATTATCAATCATATTGATTTACACAGACTAAAAAAACATTTATGATTCTGTTAATTGTTTTCACACCAAGTATATCAAACTCAAAATTACAGACAGAAAAAAAAAAATATGAAAATATAATTGTCTTTGAATTTTTGATAAATCTTTATTACAGTTAATTAACATTTCCAAATACAGTGGTACCTTATACTTCAAATAACTAACTTTGAATGCTTCAGATTTCAAGTGCTGAATTCAAGAAAAATTCATCTCAGAGTTCTTTGAATTTTAAACTGCACAAGCAGTGAAAAAAATGTGCTTGAAAAAATTCAATCTGTTGTTCATGCAAGTTGTCTTTTGCCCTCTGGTTATGCTCATACTGTGTGTGTTTAGTACTTTCTTTTTGGTGTGTTTTGGTTATATATGTTTTGTGTTATTCATCAATTTTTAGCAATTTCTTCCTGCAAGTTTTCTTTGTCAATAGCCCTGTACATTTTGTATCCTTTAATTCAAAATTTCCCAAACAGAACTTTTTAAACCATATTCGACATGTTTGAACTTTAGATGCATCTTCCCATATACATTATGAATTTTCTTTACTGTTTATATGGCACTATATCCTTTCCAAAACTCATAAGCATAATATGCCCAACATTCTTTATATCCAAAAACATTTCAAGCTGATTTTATTCAAATAATATATGACAAGAAATAAACAGTTTAAAATAAGCTTCTAAACAAAGAATGCAATCTCACACTAATAATAATGTGTTAAATTCATAACTGTTACAATTAAATCACACATTATGTTAATTAATGACTGCTGTTAAAAATATGCAAAAACTTTATGCCAAATCCAATATAACCTTTATTAAGTAACCATGACATCCAAAAAGTGTGTGGAAGCAATGAAGTCTAAGAGGAAGGTTATAATATTAATGATTGAAGTGAAAAAAGAACTTACTGCAAAGCACGAAGGCAGTACATATGTGGCAGATCAGGTGGCCAAGCTTAAGATGCCAAAGTCAAAGTGTGTGACCAGTAAATGCAATTTTCATTTTATTATAAAGTATTTTATATATTTTATTTAGTGTTTTCAAGTTTTAATTTATTATTAGGGTATTTAATTGTGTTATTTTTACCTTATATTATGTCTCTTTGCTGTTTTCAGTTTATTGAAATGGTATTGTTTATGATCTGGAAGTGAATTAATTCACTTTCCACTATTTCTAATGAGAAAAAGTGCTTCAGACTTTGAACAATTTGGAGTTCAAACAGCCTCTAGAATGAATTAAATTTGAAGTATGGTGCACCACTGTATTTAAGCAGTTATCCATCTTCTGCCAAAAAAGCAGTAACTTTAAAAGTAGAATTATATATTTGCATTAATTAATAATTAAACTTGTTATCTAAAACTTTCTAAGCATTAGATAATGAATTGCTATCAAAATTATTTATTGATAAGTTTGTAAATTCACAAATCTTAAAGTTTTGCTCTTTTATTATGTGTCATCTCATGAATCATAGTTGTCTTCTTTCATCTCAATGTCATATCAAGCATGCAAACAATGAAAAACCTATACAAAATTAAAACAGACTGTGGCAATGTGTACTTTTTAAACAAAATCAACTTTTTCATTCCATATAGCAAATAGCATATGTTTTCTATTAAATGATTTATGTCTATATTATTTCATGATTTGAATGTTGTATATTTCTGAGATCATATTCTTTGTTAATACAACTTTCATCAATGTCATATATTCTGTTTAATAATAGAATGTACATATAGAAATGCACTGTTCAAGTTCATACACTAATTGTTCTATACAGATGCTTTAACGATTTATTATAGATTGTAGAAATTACAATCTATAATAAATAGATTGTAATTTCTACATAATATGAAATTACATAATATGAACAATGGACAAACCTTGTCATCATCATAAACCTCCAATTGAACAAAATTATAAGACTATAAAACAAAGAATTTCACTATTACGAAGTAATAACTCTAGAAAACATAAAATATACATTACTAAATCTACATATATAATTTGGACACACAGCACAATACATAAGAAAAACACGAGCATTTATGAGTTTGGGAAGAACTTAATGATAAGTATCCTCACAATTTTAAGTTTACAGTTTCAAGATTATTCCAGCAAAAATATATTAAACTGTTAGCTGACTCAGAGATTCTCTTTGGAGAGACCAAATAGATTTATAATTGTCACACAAAATCAAATCATAAACATAAAACTATAGAAAACATATAAAAGACAATATTTACAGGTGAGCATTTATAGAAAACGAGTAGCCCAGGACGTCACCTAGTGGGCATTCTTTACAAATTCTCATGAGGCATGATTCCTTTGACTTTTTTGTTCCTGTCAATATGCTCTACAGCTGTCTTCCAGTCTCAATCGCATACATTTGTCTTAGATTTCAACCTTATATTTCTACCTATTAAACATTCTATAAAACTTTAAAATAGTTTAATTTGTTTATTTACCTTCGGTTGTAAACCTCGATTTTAAATGTATCCACCATTTTTTCAACAAATTTCCCATGAGTCAATGCACGACATTCACTGACTTGTGAGTCACGGGATGTTGTAAACATGCGGCGCAAGGTTAACCAAGGCATATAATAATTATTTATACCATTCCGTGGTATAAATAATAAATTCATATCAATAATAAATTCCTATTACAAATAAAAATAATTTACTGTTAATTTAAAATCATCGCTAGGGTGCCTCTAGTGCCCATTTTTGACATACCGTTACACGGACAAACGGACGGATGGACACGTGTTCAATGGGTTATATAGATAGATGCCTTAAGACCAAACTAATTCAATAAATCAAACTCTTAGCATATATGCATAACAAAACAAATATAATACACAAAAACTTGCATATAAATACAAATTATTGAACACACTCCAGTACAATGCTACAGACTGCATAAGAAAATGATTCATACAATATATTATGCTAGAGCTGTAATTGCAGATAAAACAATCTCTCATAACAGATCAATCATCATATTCATCAACAAATAAAAATCACATGCATCCTAGATGTATCTATCCAAAACATGTACAATCCACAAAATATTCACATTGAAAAATTAATAAATATATCGGATTTATCCAAGAAATAAAGCATCTGCAGAAAATTGATAGGGTAATTATTGTGGCTGTAGTGCTCTCTTCCACAAGCATCATACCAATACACTATGTTCTGCATAACATAAGTGGTATGACATCTAAAAACATTAGACCATAATAACTAGTACATATATCATATTACAGAAAGCAGCCATACTAAACACATTTCACATAGCCAGGAAATTCTTAAATACAAATACTAACAATATATTAAAAAAATAACAATTTTTCTGATAACCATGCATTGAACTTGCTCCTACAGTCCTAGGCACAAGTATCAATTGAATAAGACAGAATAGCAATAATAAAGAAAGAAAATAGATTGCTAGAGAGAGAAAAGGAGAGAGATTGATTGTGTTTTGTTTTTGTGTGCACCTTTTATTTCAAAATTGTATGAAACACAGCAGAAGCTCTAATCGATTTTAAAATGTAAACAGTTCATCATAAAATGAAATATTCTGTGTTTATTCAAAACACTATTGTTGAGTTTTATAAACTATATAAAAATTTAACAATGTATTATATATTTTATTACATGTTAAGGCATACTTTAATTTTATAATGTAACTTTATGATGTAATATCCATATTTAACAGTTTTTTAGTGAAATTTTACAATATGATACATAAAAATTTTTCAGATATACAAATATTCAAGGTATTATTATTACCTGAAAAAAATGAAGATTAAGGCATCTGCATAATGATTTAACTATAATAGTCTTTCCATAACCAGATGGCCCTGTTAATAGGATATTTGGTCTTATTTGATAGTCAACATCTCCAAATTCAGTGTTATCTTTGATGCTACTGTAAGAGAAATTAGGAATCAAATAATAATTTTGTAAAAAAACAATTACATATATGTGTTTATATATACAGAGTAAGTGGAATTTAAAAATTTATGTACTATTTTTTTTTATTAAAATACATTGTAAATACAAATATTTAAGCACTGAAGTTCACATCAACCATCTTCAGGAATTTAATTTGTAGAACAATTGAGAAGACTCAGAAACCATAAAATTTCAAAACCAGTTCAGTCTCATGTTGACAACCAAAAATAAATAAAAACGAATGAGCATCATGGCAGTTGCTATTTTCTGTTTTGCATAAAGAAAGGTTACACACATGATCATAAAGATGTTAAGGTAACATGCATAGACAAAAAATGACATCAGAGACAAAATATCAACAAATTCATTATTAAACATATTAAAATGAACATAAAATATTGTTTTTATTTATTTATATTACTCATGTTAATCTATAACACATAGTCTTTCAAAGATAACTATATATTGCTATAACTCTTATGAAAACTGAGCTATTTTTATTGCAACCATGTCTTACGTGGCATTCAGATCTTAATATAAATCAGAATTTTGTTAAATAAAGCATGATCAAAATATAACTTACTCTAATTTTAGATATGGCATTATGATGGACTGTAACTGATCCACATATAAATCCATGCCAGGTGGCTTGGGTATCTCCCAAATAGGATGAATAGGATTTGGAGAATAATATACATCCATTGTAACAGGAACATAACTTTGAACAGTACCAGTCTGTAAAAAATTTCAATATAATTAATCTTAAAGTATAAAAAATCTAAAGTTACCTTGTTTTTCCATTTTTTTTTTGTTTAACTGAAAATACATTCTGCAACAAATGCATATACACACACATAATAATAATAATCATCCAAATAATAAAAAATTATTAGAATTTTAATGGCTATGTTACAAAAATGAATGATAATTATTTAAAAATCTTGTTTCCAATGCAACAGAAAATATATTTTGATAAGTCAGAATTTGATTCTATTCAGTTTATGATATGTTGAATAAAAATAATCTCATTATTCAAACTTCTTATAAGAAAAACAAACTAAAATAAATAGACATGTATTGGATGATTCCTCCATTAATACATATATGTATATTTATAAAATGCCATAATTGTTATTACATATCATAAACTTTAAAAATAATAAACATATATTATAAAAATAATAAACATATATTACTACAATTAATTAAAATGCCTGAATGTCCTTGACTTACTATAATATATAAATTTTCTTCTACAAGTACATATTTTTTTAATATCAGGACTTATTATACTGGCTTTACAGATAATGCTACAGAGTTTCACAGAAAACAATTTTCTGTTTTATTTACTATACCTGGACACATACATAATATTGCATATCAAACTCTTTCGTTCCTCTTCAGCAGGTATTTTTGTAGTACATTCTATTAAAACAATAAAATAATTTTTAAATTACATTTTTCATTTCCCGACAAAACCATTAATAAAATTCTTACAATTTTCAAACTTTTTTTTTTATTTTTAACTTTACCGGACATTCAATTTTAAGCAATAACAACAATAATACTGTAAACTTAAGCCTGTATTAAAACAAATTATTATATTAATGTTTTACATTATATCTATTTATTATAATAAATTAGTTAAGAAGATAGGATACCTGACTTTTAAAGAAAGAGAAGATTATGAAAGACAATTAATTTTGAATATGATGAATGTAGAAATCCCATGATCAATCCAAAGAACACTAAAACTGGGAATGGACTACAATGGACCAGAAATATTGAAAATTGAAGAATTTGCTGTGATTACAGGACATTTGTTATGGAAATTTCCAGAAGAAGAAAGAGAAGGTATAAGAAAAGGTATGCAAAAAATAATAACAAATAAAAAACTAAATAAAAAAACAAAAAATAAAATTAATAATTATAAGAAACACTTAAACAATGTAAAAACATTTCTAAGTAATAATAATTTAGAAATACTTCAAGGGAACAAAATGAAACAAATAATAATAATGAAGAAAGAAGAAAAAACAGAAGTGATTAGAAGACTAATTAACGAAGGAAATTATAAAGAATTGAAGAAAGATCCAGTGGATGATCTCATAAAATCGTTGGACAAGGAATTGAAAAGTTTAAAAACAAAACTACACATAACAGAAGAAGACATCAAGAAAGAAGATAATAGAAAACCAAAATTCAACATAAGGGTAAAAACACACATAAATCCTGTAAAATATATACCGTTAATAGATGTTAGAAATTATTTATATTACAATTTAGAAAAATATTTTAAAAATAAATTAAATCTATTAGAAGTATCTAATTATAGCATTAAAAATGTAGATAAATTGTTAACAAGATTACAAAATATTACAATTAATAAATATATGAAATTAATATCTCTTGATATAGTAAATATGTGCCCTAGTATCACAATAGAAGATATAGAAAATTCATTAATAAGAATTAAAACACCTAGTTGGATAATTAAATTATGTTTAATTATAATTAAAAATAACTACTTTCAGTTCGAAAATAAATTCTATACCCAGATGGATGGAATACCTATGGGTACTTGCATAGGTCCAAGATTGGCTGAAATATCAATGATACAAATAGATGAAAAAATTAAAAATATAGAAGGCATAGAATTTTACAACAGGTATGTAGATGACTGTATTATAATATATGATACAAGGAAAACAAATGAACAAATAATTATAAATAAAGCTAATAAGATAAAAGAAAATATTAAATTTGAAATAGAAACAGAAAAACAAAATAGTATTACTGTATTAGCCTGAATATAATGCGACTCTGAAATTTTCATAAAGATATTTAGAAAAAAAATGATACTCATAAAAGAATTCAAAGAAAGTAAAATTCAATCAGATAAGCATTTATTTAGGTAATTATAGCTAATAACACAGGTTACATTCATGTCAATAAAATTAAGTAATGTAAAACAAAATTAATATTACATAAGTAACAACAGAAAACAGAAATGTTTATTCAGAATCTGAACTGTTTTCAGAATGAGGACTCAATGAATCACATCGGTATCATCAGTATTTTCATTCACACTTTCAGTTTCCCACAAAATGTCATCTTCCACCCCCTTTAAATCATTGGAAATGCAGCATTTGTTGAAACCTTTAACTATCGATTCAGGTTTGATCTTCTGCTAGGCCATTCTCCTAAAAGAGAGACTGAGGGTTTTTTATTTTTCCTGAAGGTGTCAATGGATGATTGACCGATAATAGCCAATTGTTGTATTCTTTTCGAAAATTCTCTTTAAATGGTTTATTAACCACCACATCCAAGACTTGCAACTGAAAAGTCATACCACCCGGTGTATTATTACAAGATCGGAATTCAATGCCTCAATGCCTTTTCCTTAACACTTGTTGTAAGATGGCCTCGAAATGCATCAAAGACTAGCATGAGCAGGAGTTTCTCAGAGAACCTGGCCATTTCCTCCATATCACATTCAACCAGTCTAATACCAACTCCTCTGTCATCCAACCTATTTCTTAAACCCGAAAAACAATTCCTGGACACAGCTTTTCTTTGGGCATTGTTTTACGTTTCAATATGACGTAAAGTCGAAGCTTTTGTCCGTCAGCAGTAACAGCAAGCATAACAGTAATTCTGGACTTTTCATAACCAGCTGACTTCAATAAGATCATTTTTTCACCTTTCTTATTTACCATAAGGTCGGAAGGCATGTCAAAATAGACTGGTGTTTGGTCTGCATTTCCCATATTTCCAAGACTGTAGTTGTGCTTTTTACGTAATGATATAACATGGCGAACAATTTTTCATTAAAGTCATCAGAAAGTTTTTGCGCGAGAGTTGTCCATCGTCGTAGTGATAAACTGTTCCTTTTCATGATTCTTCTACACCAACCCATACTTGCCTTAAAGTCCTTTCTAGCAATGTTTAAATTAGCAGCCTCTTCTAACGCTTTAAATCTTATGACTTCACGGGATATTGGGCACCCTTCATTTCGCTTTTCTATTACAAATTTTAACACTCGCTGCTCAACTTCATTAAACCTTCCTTGTTTAGTTCCACTAAAAGATTTTCTTTGCATTCTTATATTTCCTTAAATCTTTTCTCCATAGGCGGATGTTACTTCTGGAACTCCGTACTTCCTCGAAGCTCTCAATTTGTTCATTCTTTCTGCCTCGTTTGCAACCATAATTTTAAAATTCATATCGTAGGTTCTCCTGGTACCTTTATTTATTTGACTCTTTGATGAGCCTTTTTTTTCAACACTACCTTTATTACTTGCACTTATTTTTTATGGGCAATAAAGAAAAAAGTAAAGTAACCGTCGCTAGTCACTAGAGCAAAAAAACAAATAAAACAAAACAGTTGCGTGAGACATTAACAAATGGAAACATAGCCTTACTATAGTAGCGCTATGCAAACAAAAGCGCTGGCCTACTAACTAGATCACATGGTTGTTTTGAAGTGGTCGCACGTTGAGTCACGTTTCAACTTCTGTAGGAAAATGTCCTTGTTTATATTACATTCCATTTCTTAAACCCCGAATTTAGTGCAAGTCAATTTTTTAATGGAAAATAAATGGTCGAAAAATATTGCGTTATATTCGGGCTAATACAGTAATTATCTAGACATAACAATTGAAAGAAAAGATGATAAATTAATTTATAAAAAATATATGAAACCTATACAAATACCAAAAACAATTATAAATCTGTTACACCAATAAGTATGAAATATAATATATTTAAAATGTATATAAATAAAATAAGACAACGAACTAGTGAAATCAAAACAAGAAAAAGAAGAAGAGGAAATAATAAAAATGTTTATGTCAAATGATTATCCAAAAAGTTTGCTGAACAAATGGTTAAAAAAACTGGAAAATGATAAACAATTAAAATCAATAGATTAAGAAAAAAGTTTTGTTAAAATAAGGTATATCCCTAAGATATTTGAAAGAATTAAAAAAGTATTAAATAGATTAAATAGAAATTAATCTAATACCGGAAAAAGTAAATACAGTACAACAAAAAACCATTTATGTTATAGAAATGAAGAAAAATATGATATATTCAAAGAAAAAGGAGTGGTGTATTCCTTTAATTGTTATTGTAAACCAGAAAAAATATATAGGAGAAACAAAAAGAAAACTAAAAATAAGAATAAATGAACACATCTGAGCAATCAAGAGAAATTATGTAAATTCAGTAGTAGCAGAGCACTGTAATACCACAGGATGTGAAATAGTATTAAATTCAGTAAAAATAAGGAAAAAAGAAAAGAATAATTACAAAAGACAACTTTACAAACATATTAATATAATTAGACAAAATAACAGAATCCGACTTCTTTCGCACACTATGAAGCATGTTTGAGCGTGTCTTAGACTGCCGAATCTGTAACCTCATTGAACTCACTGTAAACCAGGCTGGCTTCGTCAAGGGATGCGGCATGATAGATGCTGTCCTCGCTGCTCGACTCCTCGTTGAGAGGCATTATGAGAAGAGGATCCCGCTGCACATTGCCTTTCTTGATCTTAAGAAGGCATTCGACCGTGTGCCACATGAGCTTATCTGGGCCACTCTTCACCAGCATCACATTCCTGAGGAACTTATCAGTTGGGTACAATTGCTCTACTGCAATCTAATGAGCCATGTCTGTGGCATCACTGGGACCTCAAAACCATTCCGTGTCTCGGTCGGTGTTCACCAGGGCTCCACTCTCTCCCCACTTCTCTTTATTGTTTTCATGGATGCCATCACACGTGACATCCAGCAAAATGTACCATATATGTTACTGTATGCTGACGATGTGCTCCTCGCCTCCAATAACAAGATCGACCTGTAGCAGCTCGTCCAGATGTGGTGTAGTCTCCTTGCAAAACATGGCCTCCAATTGAACCTGAGGAAGACTGAGTACTTAATGACAGACCCAACTGAGGAAGGCACAATCATTGTCGATAGCGTCAGCCTTCCTCAAGCTGAGCAGTTTAAATATCTTGGATCTGTGATCTCTGCCGATGGAGACTTGTACCATGAGGCAGTTGCACGCATCAATGCTGCCTGGCTGAAGTGGCGCTCATTAACAAGTGTGCTGTGTGACCGACGCATCAAGGACCAACTTAAGTCAAAGATTTATCGAAATATCATCCGGCCTGTCGCACTGTATGGGGCCGAGTGCAGGCCAACTACGAAGATCGTCGACTGTCGACTTGTTACTATGGAGACTAGGATGTTGCGCTGGATGAGTGGCCTTACCAGACTTAATTGGGTACTCAACGTAGACATCAGAGCCCAGTATGGCATTGCTGAGATCAACGAAAAAGCGCGAGAGTGGTGCCTGCGCCTTTATGGCCATGGGCTCCGTGCTGACGCTGACTCCATCATTCACATGGGCCTAAAT